TATTTTCCTTCAGCATTTTAGCAATTTGAGAACAGCAGTAAGTAAATAACTTTCCCCTTTCATTGCTACATTCTCAAAAGCACTGATGGTTCTAACAAGCCCTAAAAGAGATTACATAAGTAACAAATGCCCGCATATCTTCTAGCAGTGCAGTTCTTATTTGTCATTTTTTTTTTGTTGTGAGTCAAATAGTCTGTCTCTGCTCCTGTCTTCCTTTCTTAGATGACCATATGCCATTTTGATATGACAGTCCTTCATGATCACATTCTTTCACCATTGGTTATTAAATATAACCCACATCACAGCTATGATACAATGCACTTAAATTTCTTTTTTTGTCAGTAATTATGCATTTATTTTGTAAAGACAAACTTAAAATATTTAGCTGTTTTTCTTTTATTTGTTTTAGGTGTGTGTGTGTGTGTGTGTGTGTGTGTGTGTGTGTGTGTGTTCGTGTGTGTGTGTGTGTATGTATTCATATGAGACTAGTAATGACCTGGAAGGAATGCTTTAAATGTCTCGGTTACTGAAGTGGAAGGAATCACCATTTTCTAAAAAAAAAAATGTACATTTTAAGCATAAAATTTCAAATTAATTCCAGTCACAAAAAGCCAAGATTGGATGTCAATAGAGCCTTCATATTGAATTTTAAGGTACTAACAATTTCCTTCCTTTTTGCTCATCTAAATATTTCTAATATTCAAAATTCAAAATCCATGTTCTCCATTCATTAGAAGAAGTATGTTGTAAATGTCCTGTTGCTTGGTCACTTTAAATTGAAGATGAGATTGGAAAGGGAGTGCCATTGGCAGGGGGCTTGTAAGCCTGAGAACCTGACTAAACCCCCTCCCCCGAAAAAAGCTAAGTGTGATGGAAGACATTTCTAATGCCAATACTGGACGGTTAGAGATGGGCAGATCCTTAAGCTCACTAGAGTTCAACATCAGGTTTACTTCCTTTGGCACCATTCAGTTTGCTGTTTCAGAGAATGTATCTTTTTGTCCAGAAACTCAATGATTAGACTAAGTGCGTGCGCACGGACACACACACACACACACACACACACACACACACACTTGTACACACATGCAAATAACCTAAAAGATAAACAAATAAATTAATAAGCTTTAAAGATGATGTCACAAAACAATTTTGAATAGACAACAAAAGCTCTGACACATATCTTTTTGAGGTATTCCTGAGGTTTGGGTTTGGGGTGCTATTGTTTGATAACAGCCTTTAAATGCTTAAATTTTCAAATATTCCTTGATGGTAAGAGCAAATAACACTGGCTTCACTGTGTTTAAGTCTTTCCCTTCAAAGATGTTTCCAAATGTAATTGCCAGTGTAAGGTACTATATGAGTGCCTTTAAGAGAAGATCAGTTCAGGGCAGCTATTGTCCTGGTCACACTGGCGAAGCTCTCGCAGAACTGGAGAGCTCATTCGTATGGACATGGAATCCTTACAAAAGACTACATTTATCCCTCTACTGCTCATTCTCCTCCTTGCATCATGACTCTTGCTCTCAGCTTCTGACATAAGATGCTGCTTCAGGAAGGCCCAGACCACGTTCAGACAACTTGACTGTGGGCTGTGTGACACTGAGAACTGTGAGCTGCTGCCTTCTTGATTATTTAATCTATGGAATGCTGATAGAGCAACAAATTGTGGAATTGTATGTATTATAGACAATACTATTATAAATTACATAGTAGCTTGCAGTGAAGATTTTTTTGAGTGCATTTTCTGAGTCATACCTGCTGTTAGGAAAATTATATCTATGCAGAGTTGTATAGCTTGGTGCTCTTGTGGAACTCCTAACAGTGGGAACAGTGCCTATCTCCAACTTTCTTACTGGCCTTTGGGACTCTATTCCTCATACTGGGTTGCCTTCCCCAGCTTTAATACATGGGGGCTGCTTAGTCTTACTGTAGCTTGATATGCCATGTTTTGTTGATACTCATGGGAGACCTGCCCTTTCCTGAATAGAAACGGAGGGGGAGTGAATTGGGGTAGGAACAGATGGGTAGAGATGGGCGGAGGGGCTGGGAGGAGAGGAGGCAGGAGAAACTGCAGCCAGGATGTAAATCAAATAAATTATAAATAAATAAATTAATTAATTAATGAATTAAAAAAGAGAGTTACATATTAATTCCTTTGCATCATAGCTGTCATTTATTACCTGCTGTATTGCCAAGGATAGAAATGTAGCCCTTGTGAGTACCGTGTCTATATAATTTTGTGTCAGGGAGATATCAGCTTTATGTGATGATTGTGATTTTTTATATACCCACTGTAGAAGACTTTTAGTTAAATAACAGACATCTGATAAAATTGCCAACAATATTATCTATGACTACAGTGTCTTTTATGGAAGATATTTTACTAAATGATAACTTCCTCCCAGAGAAAGACATTTTAATTTACTACGCAAGACAGCCATGGTTATGTTTATAGTTGATAGTTTGTATGCAATTAATCTGTTTAGTGAGATTTCAAGTTTATCATTTATCCATAGTCATACTTTTTTATTTGTATTATTTATGTATTAAACAAAATAATGGCTTAAATTACTTAATTTTCATAAATATGTATCATTGCACTTGTCTCCTGCTAATCAGCATTGTCCCCACAAACTCGTCCATCTTCTTTGATGTCATGGAATTTTAATGTACAAATATATAGATACATATATATTTAATATTAGATTCTGCAAATGAGGAGAAACATGCTATTTGTGTTTTTTTCCTTACATTATACTCCACTTCTCCTCTGCCCCCAACCCATTAG